TCCGCGCAACACTCTCCCCCCCCCTCGGGCCGGAGGAGGGAGGCCCGCCCAGCCTGCGGAGCGACGCCTGCCGCGGAGAGGGAGACACTATCCGCGTTTCTCTTGTCGCGAGTGCAGGTACAGGCGGTGGGAGGCCGCAGCCCTCGGCACCCTCGGGTTATTAGGAGTGACTCCCATTTAAATCAAGGGGGGAAAATTTTGTGGCAGGATGAAGAGCAACGAATGTTCTTACTTCCCGAGTCTTGTGCCACTTTAAAGAGCAACACATTTTATTTGGCATAAACTTTCCTGAACTATGAAGCTTATGCAACGAGACAAAAGCTTCGAGACTAATAGAGTTGGTTGTTGTAGGTTTTTTTCGGGCTCCCCGTGTCCTGAAGGTTGTTCTTCCAAACGTTTGGCCAGTCTCTGTAGCCAGCATCTTCAGAGGACAGGCGTAGCACTAATAGAGTTGTTTCGGCTTGTGCCACACGACGGATGATTCTACTGTAGGAGTCTTTGACAGGCTGATCTTCTGCATTTTTATATTTTTAACAGATTGTACACGGCCCAGAAAACCTAATTCGTGGGCGGTTTAAAAATGCAATCAATCAGTCAGTCTCTAAACCCTTTGAAGTGCTGCCGACTGATCGAGGAGAGAAGCGGGCTGGAGGTGTAAACGAAGCACGTTGCAGTCTTCCACCGATCAATCCACACGCCCACCATCTCTGAGCGTCTCTCCTCGGTTGTCCACGGCCCGCTGTCATCGGACCACCGCCCGCCCGCCTGACAGCTCTGTGCAAGCCTAAACCTGTCGCTTTGAACGGGCGCAACCCGAACCTAGTTGTGCACACGATTGGGCTGCAGAGCTGGCAATCGGAGTTGCCCCCCCCGCCCCCCGCAAAAACAGAATAGAATGGGGATTTATGACAAGTTAATGGTTGCAGGATTCCAGCTTTAGGAAGAGAAATATGTTATTTGTGTGCTACTTAGGTCATAGAACTTTGCCGGGAAGAATAGGGAGCAAGGTGCGATCAGAATGGCTTGCACCATGTTTTAAGGCGATCGGTTGAGCCCTCAAAGCACAAAAAGGCTGCAGTTCCCACACTATCTCCTGATGTTTTAACTTCGTTGACTAATTTGAAAATGCATGCTGGGAGATGTAGTTTTTACCTAACATCTCCCCCCCCCCATTAGTAAGACTCTGAGATTGATTACTGTTAAAACGTAAAGCACTTGTGGGTATGTACTTGTAAATTGTTTCTAAACTCTTTAATACTGCTTTTGTGCTGCAAACAGTTTAGAGGCTTCACATTAACAAGTGATATACTTGTACTGAAGAGGAAATAAATATGTAGGCACCATTAACTTTTAAATGGGAGTCACTTTAAGTAAGACTGATGCTGTACTTGGAAGGGCAGCTATGAAGGAACTGGAAAATATCTTCAACAGTAAAGATATGTAACTGGAACACAAGATCATCCATAGTATTCCTGATAATTATGTGTGGATATGAAAGCTGGGTAGTGAAGAAATCTGGCAGAAAAAATCATTGCAATTTGGTCTTGGGGGAGAGGTTTACAGATGCCATGAGCCATCAGAAAAAACAAATAAGTAGTTTTAGAAAAGGTAGCCACATTAGTCTGCGCTAGCCCTTCATGCAAAAACAAAATAAAAGTTAAAATGTTGTGGCACCTTAAAGATTAACTGTTCTATTTTAATGTTAGCTTTTGTGGACAAGGCCACTTCCTCTTATGTTAGCCTTCAAGGTGCAACAACAATTTTTGTCTTAATTTTTTAAATTTTCTTTTGTCTGATATACAAATAATGTATATCATTCATTATTTGTCTGATATACAAATAATGAATCCTGGCCCCAGGGGGCCGGATCCTCGTTATCTGCACCTGTGGGGGGATATTCATATACGAATACCCCCATCTCTAGCGAATGCTGTCCAGAGGCTAGACTCCCATTTTGAGTCTAGACTCCTAGCAGGGTTACTCAAAGCAGAATGGCCATACCCTGTTTCCCCAAAAATAAGACTTAACCTGAAAATAAGCCCTAGTATGATTTTTCAGGATGTTTGTAATATAAGCCCTACCTCAAAAATAAGCCCCAGTTAAGTGAAACCCTGCCCTCCACTATTGTGGAGCAACCAAAAGAAGATGGCATGACTTTATTTGAATAAATATAGATTGTTGTACATGAAAAAAAATGAAACATCCCCTGAAAATAAGCTCTAATGTGTTTTTTGAAGCAAAATTTAATATAAGACCCTGTCTTATTTTCAGGGAAACATGGTAGCTGAAGCACCAGACTAAAATGCATCTACCCTTTTCAAGGGTAACAGCTGCATCAGAAGAGAATGGATGGTTCTAACGGTGATGAGGATGGAGAAACATCTGGTGGCAGCTACTGGCTGCAGTGGTAGCTGAAGGTGGCAATGTCAGAAGATATTTCACAGACAATGACAGTGACATTTTAGCTAACTTTTGTTAGTATTGCACAGAAGAAGACAATGAAAAACCACTGCTGAAGCTTTCTTACCTTGAAAAGCCTGTACTGTAATGACAGTCCAAAATGAAACAAGAAATAGTGCTGGAAGATGAGACTTCCAAGTGGGAAAGTACTCTGTTCTTAACCGACCAGATAGGCGGGATATAAATAAAATAAATAAATAAATAAATAAATAAAATCAGTTCTTTGCCCTGCAAAGGGCAACTACAAATAGCACTGTGACTATATTAAAGCTGAAAGGATGTCTAGTGGCTTATATGCACAGAGGTGAAATGAAAATCTGGTGGGGCACAACATACACAATTGTAACATGTAACATGAGAAGTATGAATCAAGGTAAACAGAAAACCATAAAGCAAGAAATAAAACATTTAAACATTGCAGTGCTTAGTGTCGGTGAAATAAAGAGGACTTGTATGGAACATTTTCAGTCAGACAACTACAAAGTGTTTTACTCTGGAAATGACAAACTCAGAAAAAAACAGAATGGCTCTAACACTGAGGCAAGATGTAGCATAGGTAGTTAAGGGTTATAATATAAGGTCTGACTGAATAACGTTCATCAGACTTCTGGGAAACCCTATCAACATAACCATAATTTAAGTCTGTGCTCCAGTTACAAGATGCTGAAGAAGATGAAATTGAAAGCTCAATGTCCAGGAGGACGTTGATCACACAACAACACAAGAGATGATGCTTATAATCAAAGGTGAGTCGAATGTAAAAATAAGAAACAAAGCAGAATCAGATGTTGGCAAATTTGGTCTAGGGATCAGAACCAAAGCAGGAGAATGACTTGCAGAAATCTCTGAAGCCAGCAATCTATTTATTGCAAATACATGCTTCAAGCAACCGAACAGACAAGTGTACATATGGACATTCTTGGATTATGGTTATGTATTTCTTTCAGAACAATTCACTTTCATTAGAAGTCGTTTCAAGTCCCTGATACTTTCTGCCAGTAAGATGGTTTCATCTGCATATCTTTGATTATTGATATTTCTTCCACCAATTTCCACTCTTCCTTCTGAATCTAGTCCAGCTTTCTATACATGTCCATATGATACAGTATGTTCTACATATAGACAGAACTGATAAGGAAATGCATCCTTGTCTAACACCTGTGCCTATAATAAACCATTCTGTCTCTCCATATTCTGTCCTAACAGTAGCTGCTTCTTTTTCTTAACATGTGCAGAAATACCACAAGACTATCCTCCTTTTTCATCTGAGTTGTTTTTGTTTTGTCCGTTCTTTTTAAAGTTTCTTGTCTAGAGATCTAGCACTAAACTAGTATATCCATCCTAGCAATAAGATGATCTAGTACTAATCTGTCAAAAACAAAACAAAACAGAGGATGATCACACTTGAAAATGTGTGTTTGAATAGTTCTGTTTTGAAATAAAGTAGAAGCCCCCAACAGCAGCAGGGGGAAAAATACTGCTTTGATAGCAAAAAGACCAAGTCAGATTAGCCTTTGTGTTATGTGATGATCAGAAATACTTCAAATTTATTATAACTGCAGTAAATCCTGCAACATTTGATCATGTAGCTACTGCTTTGATAGCAAAAAGACCAAGTCAAATTGGCCCTTGTGTTATGTGATGATCAGAAATAGTTCAAATTTATTACAACTGCAGTAAATCCTGCAATATTTGATCATGTAGTCACAGCCTGAGTCTCGGAAGAGTAGCAATGAAGAAATTAGAAAAGGTTATCAAGTGTTTGTGTCATTGGAGATCAAGACCAAGGTTGTCCACACTGTTGTATTCCTGATCACTATATACAAGTCTGAAAGCTGTAACAGTAAAGAAAGCTGACAGGAAAAAAATATTTTAATTACAGCACTGGAAGATTTCTTTTCAGATACCCTGGACTGCCAGAAAGATGAACAAGTGGGTCCTAGAGCAAATCAAATCTGAACTGTATTTGGAGGCAAAAATGATAAAACCAATGAAGAAAAAAAAATATGATGATGGAAAAGGTTGAAGTCAGCAGGAAAAAAGGAAGACTAAATAAGATCTTATAAGTTTGGAACTAAAAATGAAATTCTAAAGTGGTTTCATAGCAGTTGACTTGACTTTAAAATGCTTCTTAACATCTTCTGTCGTTTTGAAAATAGTCTACGGCAAGCATATATATATAGGAGGCTATTGTTCACCTCCGCTGTACTTTATTTATTGGCAAAGATACCTGAATCTTCCCATCATACTAAGCGGTTATGACAATCATATCTTTATTAGAGTTCCGGCACTTAGCAAGCCACCTCTTTTTCCTCGTTTTGTTCAGGCACGACTCTAGTCACCTAAACTAGAGAATGGGGCTTTACGTCCAGTGATCCCTTTCAGAGAACAGTTTCCCGACTCTTTATCTTCACTGCGCAAGCGCGAAGCCTTTCCTTTTCCGGCAGCAGCCATGGCGGGCGAAGAGTGAGTAGTACTTTCTTGTTAAAGATAATCTGTTGTCATCCGTGACTTTCAAAGTGTTTTCTCTGGGTTCTGTTTTCGAAGATGTACTCTGCGGGGTTTCGCGAGTTAGGAAGGCTTGGTTAAATCGTTCTCTCCATCGTGGTCTGGAGCGGAGGGCGAGGGTTTTGCGAAGAAGATGCGGCCGGGCGCTCGGCAACGGCCCTGCTTGGGGTAGGCCGCGCCGGGAGTCCCATTTTTGAGGAGAGGAAGCGGGACACGATGGCAGGGAGGAGGTAGCATCCCAAGTCGGTGGCTGCCTGGACAGTCGGTTGGCCTCCATCGGGCCTTACGGGCTCGATATTTCTTGCGACCAGGCTTGGGCCTCCTTCCAGCTGCCTTACGGGACACGCGTACAACCGGGGTTTGATTATAGGGATAGAACAAGAGGTTTTTGGGAAAAGGGTGCTGAGAAACAGTTCACCTTTCTTGCGAAACCGAGGGCTGTGAAGTTTCCCAGTGCTTTTATTTTGGGCGGCGATCTAGAAGAAAAGCAATGGAGACTTCCAAACTCATCACTCCCCGTGTACAGTATGTGTCTCTGTGTTGGTCGGGACTGGTACTAGGAGTGAGTTTGTTTATTTATTTATTTTATATGCCGCCCACACTACCCAAAGGTCTCTGGGTGGCTTACAAGTTTGGAAGTCCCCATTGTTTTTTTTCTGGACGGTCTGCAGGGGGAATGTCATGGAATCGTTCTTGAACAGAGGGTTGACTATGAATATTGGAATTTTAAGTGGATTCAGCTCTTGAACTATCCACTTTACCATGTGTGGCTTAGGAAGACTTGGCTAAATCGATCTTTCAAATGTTGTCTGGCAGGGAGTTCACAAAGGAAAATACAGCCGGTTAGTCTTAAAAAAAGTACTAATCTACTACAAAGTCATCTCAGCTTTCTAGATCTCTGGCTGATTATGTTTATAACTGTACAAAAGCAGTATCATTGTGAGTGGAGTGAATTTATTTGTATGTGTTTTAGTTGCTCAGAAATATATCCTACCTGTTTGAACAACTAGAACTGTTAAAAGAGGATCTGTAAAATGTGATCTGAATGCACACTTTAAGTCAAACCAGGAAAAACACATACCTTACTAATGCTTTCAAATGTCTTGAAATTGTATAATTGTTGTTTAGCAGTGTAAGGAAGCATATCTATAAGTAGAGGAAAACATTTTGAAAGGGTACATTGAAACCAAGACCATTTGACAACATGTGTCTAAAGTACTTGGAAAGATTATTTAAGTTACCAAAGTTAATACAACTATAATGACATACTTTTCCAGCTCCTCTGTGGCATATTTACTTATTTTTGTTTTATGATACAGAGCCAAGAAGAAGGTGCCTTCAATTCCAGAAAGCCTATTGAAGAAAAGAAAGGCTTTTGCTGATTTAAAGGCTAAACGTCTGAAAAGGCTTCTAGTCCAAAAGAAGGTATGATTTAAGAATACAAGTTTAAATGTACAGTATTTGTTGGGACTTATTGTCTGTAAATTATGTTTAGGATTGTTACCTTGATAGCTCTAACAGATAGTGCACTTCATGTGTTTTTTTAAGAATGGGATTAGATTTCAATTCATGAATTGCAACAGTTCCATTTTTTTTTGTCAGCTGCAGGTGGTATATTAACCATTATGTTATTAACCCAACTGCCTAATTTTCCCCATAGTATTTTGTATCTTCTCTTCTCCCTCTTTCCTGAACAGATAAACTGGCACCGGATCTATTTTTTATAACACATTTAGCAATATTGGTCAAATGCGTTAATTGTATATTTTAGCTTTGTATATGTGGCCTCCAGGTATTTCTAGATTTAGTTCCATAATCTCCCTTGGGTCAGTGGTGCTGGGAATTATAGTCCAAAATGTATGGAGGATTCAAGATTAGTGGGTTTTTTTAGGTGAGATAATAAATTCCTTTATCGTATTATTTTAATAAATTTCTGTCTGTTGTACTAAGGCGAATGGGCTTCCTGTCTTTGCTATGCTTATTAAAATTCTTCCTTCCTGATATTTGCCAACCCTTGCTCAACCAGGCCTTTCCTCTGAAGAAAGGATAAAAGAAGAATATTTATTTTTCCTGAATGCATTGTAATGCTTGTGTGTTGAAAATGTCCAATAAAAGTTGAGCTTAGAAGAGTAAAAGAGAAGTGTTTCTATCTGGTTATGTGTTAGTTTCTGGGTTGTAGTCAACTTTTGAAGTATCTTGTGTTAATGAAAGTCAGGGTCACTATGGAGGAGTATTCAGACTAAGTCTGGGAAGACCCAACTTCAGATCTGTACACAACCATAAGTTCTGTGGATGGCCTTAGGGCATTTGCTATTTGTCAGCATGTATCACAGCATTCTGTGAATGTTAAATGGACACCATGGATGTCTCCCTCATTCCTTTGCAGCAGTGGTTCCCAAACTTGAGCCACACCATATGGTTGAACAATACCTCCAAGAATCCCTAATCATTATTCCTTCTGGGTGGCACTTTTGGAGGAAGGATGACAGCAACAAAATCTCAACAGTACAATTCTTATTTCAGATGAGAAAGGAGGAACGAAAACTCATCTACAAAAGAGCACAAACCTATCACAAAGAGTACAGACAGATGTACCGACGTGAGATTCGCATGGCCCGAATGGCCCGCAAGGCTGGTAATTACTACGTACCTGCTGAACCCAAACTAGCATTTGTGATCAGGATCAGAGGGTAAGATGAGCAGATGTAGTGCACTGATCTTTAATGCTCAGTAGGTCTTTGCAGCAGCACTGTTTTCCTAAGTGGCTAGTCTAAAACAGGTTTTGGTAGACATTTCTTCAAATTGTCCTTACTTAAAATGTCACCCCTAGAGTTTCTAATCAATAGTTGCTACTAAATGTTTTCGCTTAGCTGGATACTTTAATATGTGGCATACTGATTAATTAGTAGCATTTTACTTTCTTATTAGGATGATAAATTGTACACTATTTTTAGATATGAAGGATAATGTGAAAATTATTTGGTTTTTTTGGAGCAAATATGAATGGTATAGTTGCGATATGTGAAAGTATTCTGTAAGTAAAGGGATCTCTTTGTAGCAACCCATCTTTGGTTACCGCCCATGTAATCCATCATCATGTCTTTTCAGTGCTTTTTATTTTGAAAAATTGGACTAAATTTTTACAGCAAACATTGATATGGATTATTGAGAATTGTAATAGAGTACTTGTGTACCAAAACCAATATCCTTAATGCTAACTGACAGAAAAGTTTCTGTTTTGTAAATAAAATTGCAAATAGTTCATTTAATGGAATGAAATTAATTTAATGGAAATGGTTGAAACATATATATACTGGTTTTCTGAACTTGGGATTATTTTATGATACTTTCTAGAATTAATGGCGTTAGCCCCAAGGTTCGCAAGGTACTGCAGCTCCTTCGCTTGCGTCAAATTTTCAATGGCACATTTGTGAAACTCAACAAAGCATCCATTAATATGCTGAGGATTGTTGAACCTTACATTGCATGGGGGTAAGTTGCACCTTGAATTTAGCGGTTGCCAATGGAGTACGTGATGTGATCCTTATGGGTAGTGTATTACTCACCCACAATTCTGTTTCCTTTGCTGCTAAGTCTTGTGTTGAGAGAAGTAATGTCTGCATCCTGCTCTAGAACAAGAATGTGCTATCAGCATCATTGTCTATTTAGCTTTTAAGATTAATGAAGTGGAGGGGTTGCTCTGCAAGGTTGTAAAGAAAATGTTCATCTGGACCTGAACTATTGCATGACCATAAGAGGTGTACAAGATTCTTTTAATTCACCTGCTACTATCTGTTAGCTGAGTGACTTTCATAAATTAATTGTATAACTACAGTGTTTGACACAATCTTGTACTCTCCTGCAGTTAAAGGGCGGGATATTTTTCCCCATGTTCATCCCTGCATCTTTTAATCAAATGCCTTCACAGGATGGATAGCCTGTTACTTTTGAAAGGTGGTGGGATTGCATTTTCCATCATCGCTGTGGCTGTTGGGTGTTTCAGTCAACAATTTTTGGACTTCCACATGCTCTCCATATTCTAGTCAGATTTTCCTCCTAGTAAACTTAAAATTGGATTTTCACTGCACCACTTTTCCCAGTCCTTGCGAGAGAGAACTGCTCCCAGTATTTGAACCTGAAAAGTCATGTCTGGGTACATCTGCTTAATAATTTTTAGAGTACATATGACTTGAAATCTCAGTAGGTACAGTCTGGGTACATCTGCTTAATAATTTTTAGAGAGTACATATGACGTGAAATCTCAGTAGGTACAGTGGTGCCCCGTTTAACGACGAATCCACATAGTGATTGAGTTTTTGTGATCACAAAAGCGATCGCATAACAATGTTTTAAATGGGAAAACATCGCTTTGCGATGATCGGTAAGCATTTCGCTTACAGATTATCGTATAACAATGTTTTAAGAACAGCTTAAAGATCGGCAGTTCCAAAATGGCCGCCAGGTGAAGAAAGTGGCTGCCTGCTGTGTTTTTGCACCCTTTCCTCGCTTACCAGGCAGCGAAAATGGCAGCCGCATGGAGGATTTCTGCATAACGGTGAGTTTTATGCCCATAGGAATGCTTTAAACGTGTTTTAATGCGTTTCCATGGGCTGTTTTGCCCTGCATAGTGACGAATCCACATAGCGACAATTTTTTCGGAACGGATTATCGTCGCTATGCGGGGCACCACTGTACTTGCGTATTCTGTAACATCTCTTCTTTAAATCTTAACTGCTAGTAGTTTTTTTGATGTTGATATCCATAGCCTGTTTTCCTTCAAGCTAATAAATTTGGTATATGCATTTTTGTAGGAGCAATCCATAACGTCCAGAATATAAGGAATTTGTCTTGTGCTGTCAAATTAGTTAATGCAAAAAATTTGTTGCATTTTTGTTCCAGTTATCCCAACTTGAAATCTGTGCATGAGCTGATCTACAAACGTGGTTATGGGAAGATCAACAAGCAGCGCATTGCTTTGACAGATAACTCTCTGATCAAAAAATGCTTGAGTAAGTGTAGCACATTTTCCAGTCATTGCAACTTAGCAGCATTGTTTTAGTGATAGCAGCATTTTTGCATTGATGGTGATATGATTTTAGTAAGCGTCTACATTGATAAACCTATTGTATATTTGCATTTGCTCTGAATCTTGTAGTTGTCTTTGGAGTTCCATTTATTGGCTTATGTGCTTAATTTCTTCAATCATTTTCTTTTTAATTCTCATATCTGTGATCCAAGTGTTTTGCCATATTCCTTATGCTTTCATAATTTGCCTATCTACTATTTACATACAAGTAGATACCATTCTTGCTTGGAAGAGAAATAGTGGTGCAATTAACAGGAAAGTTGGGGAATACAACTATAGGGTGTTATGTTGGAGATGTGGGATGCTTGACTTTACAGTTGGTTCATGTAACGTTTGACCTAATGTTTTAGTAAAAACAGACCTGTTTCTAGGGTGCATTAGCTGAAACAATTCTAGCAAATAAAATTCTAATTTCTGTACATTAATGGGATTTTAAGCCATGAAAGCTGTGAGGTACAGCAAGTGGCTGTTAGAAATAAGTCTGACTAGGCTTTCTGCTTAAAAAGAATCTTTTTAAAGCTGAAAGCAGTATTTTCCACTGGCACTAATATAATTATGGTCATGGTGGCTGGGGGGGGGGAATTTTGGTGGATTCGAGAGCAGCACATATGGAATCCCAGTGATTGTCTGCACATGTTACTAAGATCAATATGTTTTTAAAAGTTTGCTATTCGAACTCATTACATGCATCACAGTTAGCCTGTACCTTTTCTAAATTTTCTGGCATGAGAACCCAATGCAGGAAGGAAACGTAAGTTTTCCAGTTGGAACGTTTCTTCCAAGCAGGGCTTTTGTTGAAAGCGCAGATGCTTGCCAGGTAGAGGGGAGGGCATTTCCTTGTTACAAGGCAGCAGATTGACCTGTTGAGAGATGCTGCTTCCACCCCCTTGCCTATATGGGCCATCACTGGTGATAATCACTCATAGAAAAATACAAGTACCCAACCAACAGAGCCAAGAAAATCCCTAGTACCAGTTCCACCTCAGTCATAAACTGGACAGCCTGTAGTACATTCTGCTATTTCACCTTTGTACTGGCTTACCACAGAACAATTCAGTCTACTGAAATACAGTGATACAAAGAGCAGGAAAATTTCTGTTAGCATTTACTAATGCAGCACTTTAGCATCTTTTTGAAATACAAGACTGAAAATACCATTGGAAACTAAAAGTAAACTCTGAAATTGTATAGAGGAGAACATTGCATTTATATATCACATTCAGTGTTTTTCACTGTATTCCAGTAGCTAGAATTGTTTTGTGGTCAGCCAGTATAAAGATGATGTACTACAGACTATCCAGGGGTGAAATTGGTGCTAGAGACTTCTTGGCTGTCTCTTAATAATAATTATAATGTGCTGTCGAGCCAGTTCTGACTTACGGTGAATCTTTTCAGGGTTTTCCAGATAGAGAATGCTCAGAAGTAGTTTACTATTCCCTTCTTCCTGTGGGGAGCTGAACTCCCAACCTCTGGCTCCACAGCCAGATACTTAACTATGGAGCTATCCATCCAGATGGCTCCCTCTGGGCCATTCCATTAAACAATTTCAATTCTTCTATTTATAGTTTAGCATTTAACTTGAAATTAGCATAGAAACTTGTAATTAAAGTTATTTAATGGCAAACAACTATAAACAGACTTTTAGCTTAGTATAACCTGGCTGAGATCTTATGGAAGCTGATTTGAGGGGCAGTAGTGTGTTGGTGATGGACTGTTTTTGGGTTAATGGCAGAATGTCCTGTAGGGGCCACTGTGGTGTTGTGTCTGAAACTAGGCTTCCTTGGTGCAAGTTCCTCAATGGCTTTTTAGTAGATTGAAACCTCCCAATGTGTCCTAACGGCTGGTTGTTAAAAGCAGTGAGAATGGTAAAGCATTTGGTTGCTAAAATGTCCCTTTCTTTTCTCATTTTTTAAAGAAAAGTATGGTATCATTTGCATGGAGGATCTGATCCATGAAATTTACACTGTTGGCAAAAACTTCAAAGCAGCAAACAACTTCCTCTGGCCATTCAAGTTGTCTTCTCCACGAGGTGGAATGAAGAAGAAAACTACTCACTTCGTAGAAGGAGGTGATGCAGGAAACAGAGAAGATCAAATTAACAGGCTCATAAGGAGGATGAATTAATGGTATGATAGCTGGAAGAAAAATGTGTTTTATGATTATTGAAATAGATACTGCACTTGCATATATGAAGCCATATGATTATTTCAAATTTTTATCATCATACTGCTAATTTATATATTATGTGGTGTCAGCATAAGAATTCTAAATGGATAGTTTCAGACATGGGCATATATAGAGGCTTTGAGAGTTTTTTATGAGCAGAGTTCTGCTTATGTGGTGATAATGTTGCAGGAAGAGGACAGGTGACACGTGCTGATTCCTCCCTTCCCTGCAAGCTCCTACACATCTGCTCTGGAAGAAATAAGCAGTAATAGAAATCTATTCAGGTGTTTGTTTTTGTAAGTGCATAGAGGCAACCAGGGATATACACTTTAGCCCTTCCCTTCTGCTCATGAATCCCCCATGTTTGGCAGGGGAGTCCTGCCTAAGAGCTGTAACTGCAGTCTGAGTTCAGAAGGGGAAGCTGGAGCATGAATATGGTTTGGCTGATTAATGTATTTGTATGAGGGGATGTGCAAAACAAGACCATTGCCTTGCTTATACTGGGAAACACTATGTCAGATTTTTGCTACTATGCTAGCTTGTCTAATGTACAGGGATAAATTTGCACAAAAGAACTACTTTGCTTTGTATTCAGATATTATACTGCCATTAAACTTACCAGCAAATTGCTCGTCTCTTATTGAGAAGCAAAAAATTTGACATCTTTCAATCTAGGCTAACAAATGCACTTTCAAATAGCACTCTTTGAGAAAAGAAATCAGTGAGGGATTGTCTCGATGTTCAAGGAATGATAACTGCTATGGGATACAGATTTAGGTCTGTGGGCAATAAATGCTTTTGCTATAATTTTGTTAAACACGTTTAACTATAACTATGTAGAAGTCTTAATAGTTTATTATCCATGAAGTGAAAAACACAACTTTACAAGACTTTCTAATCACTTGGAAGCAAAGTTCCCCCTAAGGTGTGTGCCCGTGCCTGTGCCACTCTGCCTCCCTCCACACAGGGCTTCTCTGTGCACCGGCAATGGTCGTTTTCAGCTACTTTGGTTCCGGTCATGATGGGGGGGGGTGAGTTTGAATCATATGCATGGGTGAAGTCACACATACAAGGGGCAGAACCCCACACAGCAGGGCTGAAAATTAGAGGGAACATTGCCTGGAAGAATTTTTACTCCACAAGCAACTAGCTAAGTGACTTTACAGTAAAAAAAGTGCAAAATGTTGTGTGGCTTAAGTTCTTGGAAACACTTAACTGATTAAGATATACTAAGACAGTAACTGTCACTAAATTATATCCAAACCTGTCCACTGCATTTTTGTAGAAGATCAGATAACAGCTTGTGCAGTTTACTCTTCTGGTTTTTAATGTTAATTTTTCTTGTTTTGTAGGTTCCCAGAAGATGACTTCTCTAACTATTCTTAATAAAAACCAGAAATTCTGTTCAATTGATTGTGCTGTTCCTCCTTGCTCATAAATTGACTGACAGTGAAGCAGAGTACCTCTGAAACTTTTTAATGCATTAAATATTGTTTAGCTAGTTAAACTATGAGCTTTTTGAAAGCTACAGTTAATTGTGTCAAATTGAAGAGTGAGAACACTAGTACATAAGAATAGGATTCCCTTTGTCAGAGTTCTTTGGCGCACAAAACCATGGCTGATTTTTGAACTGCACCTAGTTTGATAGAAGACACATGAATGACTATGTTTGAATAGTACAGCATGAATTGAAAATATAAAATATTTGCAAATAGTTTCAACACTGATAAAACAAAGTTTTATGCATACATGTCTCAGCATAAAGGTAAGTAACTTTATAGCTCTGTCTATATTGGCATGTAGGTATGTGCATCCTGAGTCAGTTTCAGTACAGACAAGTTAAAATTGAAAACATTCAAGGAACCCAGACTCTCTGTTCTGATTTTTCTGGGAGGAGTACCAGTGGAAGTACTTGCATATGCCATAAATTGCCAAGATACAATTTTGGCAATTTATGGCACCTCGGGTCTTTAAAAGACGCCTGCTTCTTGGGAGGAAAGCGATGACAAAGGCTCCAGTACTTTGGCCATCTCATGAGAAGAGAAGACTCCTTGGAAAAAACCTTGATGTTAGGAAAGTGCGACGGCAAGAGGAGAAGGGGACAACCGAGGATGAGATGGCTGGACAGTGTCTGCGAAGCAACCAACATGAATTTGACACAACTCCGGGGAGCAGTGGAGGATAGGAGGGCCTGGCGTGCTCTGGTCCATGGGGTCACGAAGAGTCAGACACGACTAAATGACTAAACGGGTCTTTAGAGTTTGCATTTTGATTCAGGCCAAACTTCAGTGAAACTTGCCAAACAAGCAACTTAATCTTGCAACAAGCTTTATTGAACTCCATAGGTTATTAGAGTATTTAAACGATTTTTTACTTTGCTCATTAGCCCAGAGATTCTGCCAAAACATTTTTGCTTTGTGGGTGGGTGATCTAAAATAGTGTTTATACATGCACAATATAAAGTATGTAGGCCAAGCACACATTCCTCCTGGTGTGGCTAACTAGGGTTGGTTCCTGCACGATATATTGTAAGGTACACGTCTTGAGCACAACATGGATATACTTGAGTAGTGTATATTTTATAGTATGACCTTGTGGATTTGTTAATGGAGGCAAGGAAGGCTGATCTAGAATGGCAGAAACTCCTCTTACCAAAATGGGTAATAGATGCTGAATTGTGAGAGTGCCAACATGAAGAGACAACTAGTGGTCTGTATATGGAGTACAGTGGTGCCTTGACTTACGAAATTAATCCATATTAGAATAGTGGCTGCATCTGAACATTTTTGTAAGTTGAATCACCATTTCTCATGGGAATGCACTGAAAACCATTTAATCCGTTCCGTCTGTTTTTCGTTCTTATGTAGAGGTGCCGTTCTTGAGTCGATTAATCTGTACTCTACCACTAGGGGGAGAATTTTACTTCTTTTGACCTAAGATGAACTTAGGTTAAAAAAGGGCAGGAAAGGAGGGGGGGAAGGGAACACCTAAACAGAACACCTTTAAAAACAAGCACCTTTTAAACAAAAACAAGCACTTTTTAGCTTTAAAAAGGGGCAGGAAAGGAGGGATGGGGGAGAGAACACCTAAACAACACCTTTTAAAACAGGCACCTTTTAAAGAAAACCAAGCACCTTTTAGCTTTAAAAAAGGGCAGCAGAATACCTTTTAAATGGAACACCTTAAAAAAAGCTACAGAATCCAGCAAGCATTATTCCAGCACAGAAATCACGAAAAGAGAGACTAAATGGCATTTTACAGCCTGCCTGCATCAACAGCCAGCACAGCCCCTCACAGAATATTTTCTGATTTTAAGAAAAAAAGACTGGAATCTAAACTGTATTTTAAAGTCTACTTTTCACATTTTAAATCCACACTCCAAGACCCATCAGAGACAGAAACATAACCCACCACCTAGCCTACCCCCCAGCTGCAAAAAACCCTGTACAGTAAATAGTGTATGTACTCGCCCAGAACAGGCAGTCTGTTTTTTAAAAAAAGTCAAACATCCAAAAAAACGTAAAAGCCAAAAAAAAAAAACCCACCCAAAAAAACCCAGTATGTACAGTACAGTGCCAGGCAGTACTGTACAATATCAGGCAGTACCAGATAGTCTGAAGACTCCCTATGCACTCTAACCGCTGGGACAAGCGAAGTAGCGGACAAACAGCCTCTTTGCTGGCCAACAGTCAACTGAAAGTTCAAATTTCACACTTGCCTCCTCCGCGTTTTTTTTCTTCGTAACTTGAAGCTTTTCATATCTTGAATTTTTCACAACTAGGAAAAAACAGTAGGTACAGTACAGTGCCAGGCAGTATCAGGTAGTCTGAAGACTCCCTATGCACTCTAACCGCTGGGACAAGCGAAGTAGCGGACAAACAGCCTCTTTGCTGGCCAACAGTCAACTGAAAGTTCAAATTTCACACTTGCCTCCTCTGCTTTTTCTTTTTTCTTTTTTTTGGTAACTTGAAGCTCCGGACGCAAGTCCAAGCAATATTTTGCAGCCGGAGCTTTTCTTATCTCAAATTTTTCACAACTAGGGACATTCATAAGTTGAGGCACCACTGTATCTGATGTCCTAAAGGCTGCCAATCAGAAGCTGTGTAGGAGTATAGGTGAGAGATAACAGGGCTGCATATAATGCAGTGGGCCACTGAGGGCAATTTGCAATCTGGGGGCTGCATGTGACCTACACACTTCAGGTGCATCCCCAGAATTCAATTTTTTCCCCTAATGGACTAGAGGGCAAAAGAGAGCTTTTCTTTGCTTTCTCTTTGTTGTTGTTAAATCCCTTTCTCATTTTTGTAAGAAAAAATATGTGGGGGGAGAAGGAGCAAATTGAGACCTCTCAAGTTCCAGGAACAGTCATGTGTGGCTCCTGAACCTCTGGAGTTTGCCCGCCCATGTCCTAGTGAGTGATAGGAACCTCCTTGTGTCTGGCTTCTTTTAATGACAGAAAAGCTAGTATTTTTCTCTCTCTTACATGCTTAAGTAATAAAGCTAGTTCCAGAAGACAAAAATGAGCCACATCAATGTTGGGAACATTGGTTCTGGGCTGTTGAACAAGAGGTCTTGCACAACCATTTTAACTGAATCTGCTGTTAAGATGTAAAATATTTGCATTCTGGAAGATCATATGTGCAGTTTACCAGACTGGGAGCAGCTGGGTTATTTCTCGAGACATTTGAATATTGCCCAGCTGTGGAGCAACCAAGAAAACTTAACATATTGGAACCAACTGTTCAGAATACTGTATAAACTTTCTGTACACGTCAGATAAACTGTTTTGATTTTATAGTCAGTGGCTGTATTGTAGCAGCTATGTGGTTTAATATAACTATCTACTTGATGAAGTTACAAAACTACTGGAGCCATTTATTTTAGTGCTAAACCAGCTTTGACAAACCAAGTTGGAGCTGGATATACCTAAAGGGTTTGTGTATGTATGTGTATGCGCCAATCTTTCATCCCCTTGCAGCTCCCTGTAAGTTGCCTCATGCCTGGGATTCTTCCATAGCTAAAACAAGGGAAGAGAGGATCTACAAAACTTGTCTGCTTCAATGTGAAAGACTTCACTGTCTTAACCTGGTCTGTGGATAGTAGGGGCCATTTGTATATCACTGAACACATTTAACTTGCCTGATTTCATAAACTAAGTATTTGTGTGTTTTTAGATAATTTTATTTTATACAAAAATACACCAAAAAAAACCCCACAAAACTAGCAAAAAAATAAGTATTTGGTTAGTACACTACTTAAGGTACTTCAGCATCTTAAAAAGCAGAGCCATCACCTTGCCATCAAAAGTCCGCATAGTCAAAGCTATGGTTTTTCCTGTAGTGATGTATGGAAGTGAGAGCTGGACCATAAAGAAAGTTGACCGCCGAAGAACTGATGCTTTTGAATTATGGTGCTGGAGGAGGCTCTTGAGAGTCCCCTGGACTGCAAGGAGAACAAACCAATCCATTCTAAAGGAAATCAAGCTTGAGTGCTCACTGGAAGGACAGATCCTGAAGCTGAGGCTCCAATACTTTGGCCATCTCATGAGAAGACTCCTTGGAAAAGACCTTGATGTTGGGAAAGTGTGAGGGCAAGAGGAGAAGGGGACGACAGAGGACAAGATGGTTGGACAGCGTCATCGAAGCGACCAACATGAATTTGACACAACTCTGAGAGGCAGTGGAAGAGAGGAGGGCCTGGCGTGCTCTGGTCCATGGGGTCACGAAGAGTAGGACACGACTAAACGACAAAGAGGACACTACCAGAGGATATACTCTTCAGGTTAGGTTGGGAAAGAACCCTGCCTGAAACCTTGGAAGGTGCTGATTATAAGGCAGCTTCCTATGTTCTGACAGCCCAGTTGCATCCATTACATGCATTCTTCCTGCCTCATCCTCATTCAATGCTTTATTTATTAACTAAATGAAAGTATTGTGCTTTACTTTCTGTAATAGTTCTCTGCAAGATAAAAGGAGGATTGTATAGTCTATATGAAAATAATGGGGTGGCTGTTGCTATATGTCCTCTGATGATGAGAAATTTATTTATTGGATTTTGATCCCGCCCATCTAGACCAAAGGTCTACTCTGGGTGGTTTACAAATTTAAAAGCAATAAAACCAGAAAACATAGATCCAAGGTGGCGAAAGTATAAGGAATTAAGTTAATTGAACTTAGTGTAACCATTAAAGACAGAAATAGTTAATGTAGAAACTAGTGATTTAGGAGCACACAATCGTACATGTGCAATGTGAAAATGTCGCCTATAGCTTAAATTTGAAAACCATATGAAGCAAATATACTCTAATGCATAGCAGTAAATGAACTAAATAAATTTCAAGATGAAGTTTACACTTAAATCCCATACTGGCAGTGGCACAAATGTAAAATCTAAGTCAAAGCTCAGAAATGACTGAGGCTATGGTACTTTGGGCACACAATGAGAAGACAAGACTCACTGGAAAAGATAACAGTGGGAAAAGTTGAAGGCAACAGAATAAGACCAAACAAGGAATTATTTCGCTAAAGAAGTAAGAGTTTGCCTTGAGTTTGCAAGAACTGAACAGGGCTGTTAAAGAAGAGACCTTTGTTAGGTCACTGATTCGTAGGATTGACATAGGTTAGAATCAACTTGGTGGCAAATAACAAGGCTCACAATACAGCTGTTTTAGCCAAATACTGCTAAAGAGTTGCTAATGTAACACCCATTTTCTTTGATGTTTGTCACTTCCATAACCCTGCAGCTACTTTGTACATGTGACAGGTTTGCAATTTTAGAGATTGTGCAAACTGCTAATTGCTTCAATAAATTATGTAGCTGAAAACCTACGGCAAATAGACAGTGACAACATAACTACAAATATATAAAATGTTTATTAAATAAGATTTCCCTTTTACATTAAGAGTTTCACTGATTAGAGTACCTGTGAAAGGAGGCTTTGTAGGTAGTTTGGGGCAAGAAATGATTAACTCATTAAGTAATTGCAAAGGAGCTTGCTCTTTGGCCAGTATATGGTTTACATCTCTTGTTTCTTGGTCTTCCTGATTTTTCTGCTTTTCTCTTGATGAACTGTTTCACATTCCAAAGCGGCCAATTCAGAAAGTCGTCTGAGGTATTCAGGAGGAGCTCCCCTGAGAGGGTCTGGGAAGCAGTAACCTAGGAGAACAATAAAGGACTCTGCTTGATTATTCACCATCACTGTTAATTTATTTATTGAATCTATAAGGTTCTCTTGCAAAGCACCTGAGGCAGTGTTACACAAAACACCACAAAGAAAAAGTGGTAAGTCACTACACCTTAAAATAAAACTTGGGGGGAGGAGCTATAAGTGGGCAGGGAGAGACTTCAGGATACATTTGGAAACACAATCTTCCTAAGGCAACAAGTGGAAAGCAGGTGCCACACTCTGGCTCACATAGGGAATCAGAGTGACACAGCTATTCAAAAATTAGTTACCAAACAAATGGACAAATTCCAATTTTTTTAAAAAAAGTAACAGCATTGGAGAGTCTTCAGAAGTGGCCTTAGCTGGGCTATTCACTTCTAAATGACTTCAGTAGCAGACCTATATGCCAGCGAATAACTGCAAGATGCTAATACAGAACAATAAATCCAGCATGTTATTGTATAACTGTCTGAAAGATCACTGAAATAGCCAGTAAGTTCTGAACAATGCTCAGAGTAAAAACAATTTATATAATGCCTGAATGTATTTTTTCTCTGAAGTCTCATTTAGTTCACTGTGTTTGCTGCCATGTATATGCAACAGCAGCCAATATGCAATGAAGCACATCCCCCAGATATAAAAAAGTGATGTCGGGTTTTAAAAAATTGTGACTCTTAAGAATTTTGGTAAATCCAGAATAATGGTACATACTTCATTAATTCATTTTCTCCTACTTAGCTGACTGAAGCAGTTAAACATTGAATTACAAACACCAATACATATATTATGCCTTGACTACCTGAAGTATTAAAATAGGCAGAAGGATGTTCACAGTAAACTAATGAGAAAATGAGTCTGTCTTTAAAATGCATTCTGGTCATAACATGATTAAGAAATAGTTACCAGAGTTGAACTTGGATCCATCTGGAAATGAAATTAAACTAGAATATCTGTTGTGTTTTTTCAGCCTATAAATGTACAAAAGCACACATTAAGCAATAGAATGTACAGTATTACATTTTTAACTCAGTGGCAATAAACACTGACCTCAAAAATATTGTGAACATGTGAATGGGAGATCAAAGCATCTCGACTGATGAATCATATGCATCTGGTGCAAACATTCCTGTATCAAAAACACTACTTGTTGGAACAGTAACCACCCAGATTCCTAATAATAACCCTTAACAGGCATTGAAGTCTTTGTACTGGTAGACTATGACACGGGGGGCTAAAATGATCAGAACCTTTCTCTAGAGTTAACATTTCTGAGCAACAGAAATAGGAAAAGAGCCAGTTCCAAGAATTTTTTGTGCTAGTTATAGCATTTTCACAAATGTTCTCAGTCAGCAACATTTCACTTGCATACAGCCTGATATATGATAATGAAAAAGCTAATGGCTCAATCCTACGAATTACCTCCTGGGCACAATTTCTCACTGTGTTCAGAGGAACTTAATGAACTGTGTAAAAGATTGAAACCTAGAGATATTTAATCATTTGGAGCTAAATTAATTGCTAGCCTCAAGTAGACTAGACCCATTGCATGAACAGGATTTGCCAAGTAGGGCCTTACATACATTCCAGTGGGACCACTATAGCAACTAGAGATGGGCACGAGCCTTGGTTCAGGGATTTGTGCTGGTTCGTACATGTGAGACCATAAGTGTCTCATGTTCTCTTCTCCCATTCTGTCCAGTCAATGACCCATTCACCGGTTGGAGCACACTCCTCTCTTCAGCTGTTCGACCAGTCTCTGGCAGTAGCATAGGGTTGCCCGTCCTGCCTCCTTGTTCGACTGGGCGATCAAGGGAGCAGAATAGGGAAGCCCATGCTCCTGCTGGAGACTGGTTGAACAGCTGAAGAGAAGGAGTGGAGCGGAGCGCATGCCAGCTGGTGGGGGGAATCCAGCCAGGGAAGTGGGGGGGAAGGAAACACTTAGCACTTCTGGTGCCATGTATATGAATGGGCACGAACCTCCAAACTGAGGTTTGTGCCCATCTCTAGTTGGGACTAACAATCATGATAATTACGTACAGTACAAGCAAGAAATATTTCTTGCAGCTGCTCAAACCCAATACACTAAATTCTAGAAGTCTGCTCAGTTTACAATTACGGCCCAGTATCCTACTGCTAGTCCCATCCACTAAATCAACTGCTAAATTGTACATCAACAATTCTGTAAATTCCACAGGTTTATTCTAGCAATAGGATACCAACCAATGAAGTTTTAAAAACACACTCAACCTCCTTATCTTTATCTTGCCCACTAAGTTCTCAAACACCTCTTCAAAGAGGTAAGTCTTCAATTGCTAACTGGAGGAAATGAGGGAAGGGGCCAATCAAACCTGAGGAAGGAAGATCCAGAAGTTGGGAGAAGCAACAACAACAAAAAAAACCTCTCTTGAGGCCTTACTGGAAAGCAGGCTTTGACCAAGATAATCTTACACTGACTGGAAGGGCCACTAAGGCACAATCCTATTTCACTTAATTTTTCAAAAAATGATCCACTGTAGGAGTGGTTCAACTCTTATTAGGCTTGCATAAGGAAGTATCTAGTACTTCCTTACACAAACAGAAATCTTGATCCTCTCAATTTGAACTTGCCCAACTACTGGTCTGAAATCAAAAGGGACTTTTGCAGACTTGAGTATTATTCTCTAGCATTGCTCAGCTGGATCCTGCTGGATGAAATTAAATGTGACTGACCTGTTGAGTCAAGTCAAGCAGGTATTCAGATGGGTAAAAGTCAAGGTGATTATGTATGCCCACAGAAGAGATGTAGGATGTAACTGAATAGATGAAAGACTAGTGCCATGTGAGCTGACTTCTTCTAATGCAATGGGACATTTTCTTCCTCTCCCCTGCTCACTCCCAAGCCCAGTATGAACAAGTTGCCCAACGCTCCAAGGCAGGAAAGTGGGGTCCATTCTATTGGAGATACCCATTAAATATTTGGCAGATGGACACAACTGGATGCAACTCTAAATAATTTTATTTTCATTGGTAAGTCATTTTTCCTTTTTAGTCATATAACCATATTTCTAGAACAATTTTTATAGGTGAGTCTAGTGAAAAACTTTATTGGTTTATTGCTATAATTGTGGGCACTACCTTTTTCTGAAGAAAGTGTTTATAAATGTCTTACCTCACAGCACCAATCTCTCCTGCTCCACTGAGCATCTCTGATGTCTTCAAAGGGTCTGGTTTCCACGAGTACACCCTTCTTTTATTTATATCCCCCATGGCTATTTCTCCTCTACACAAAGATCATGACGAAGAAACATTGCCAAAATGACAGGCTTTACAGGCGTGCAAATAAAACATGATACAACTTCTCTTTCATATAGTATTGTGAGGAAGTACTTATGGCTTAAAGTAGACACAAAATTTGTATTGGCCTTACCATGTTCAGTTGCTTGTAATTTCCTCATGCATAATATTTAATGTGTTTATTTCTAGCTACAGTCTATATATTGTGCATACCCAGAGCACATGCTTATTATTTACTATGCTTCTATTTTTAGTACAGCTTTTAAAACCATAATGACTTAGGAGAATCATAAGAAGTGGAATGAATTCGTTAACTTAAATTTTGCAGATCTGATGGCATCTATAACAATTCTCAATTAAAATGCCAGAGCTACAACTGGCACTGGCTTGGTCCCAATGTATCTGCTTCAAAACATGTGCAAACAAGTGCTGTATGCACTCTTGCCGTTGACTACAACCAGGAATGTGAATTACCTGTGTGTATCCCAGCTCCCGCCAACCTAGTGGTTCGAAAGCATGCAAATGCGAGTAGATAAATAGGGACCACCTCGGTGGGAAGTTAAACAGCGTTCCGTGTCTAAATCACACTGGCCATGTGACCACGGAAAGATTGTCTTCAGACAAAACGCTGGCTCTATGGCTTGAAGAGCGGGATAAGCGCCGCCCCCTAGAGTCGGACACGACTGGACAAAAAATTGTCAAGGGGAACCTTTACCTATACATAACTAAAGTGCCAATCATTTCATGGGTAGGAAGAGGAAGTGAATGGATATATTAGATCGCTCCACCCCCACCATCACCAAATATGATTTGTGGTATTGAACTCATTACTGGCCCAGTTACTGAAGTAGGTTTTTAAACTGTAAAATCTGGTACATACTGTTCAGCCACCACACACCTGCATCCTTCTGGGTCAAAGTATTATTCATTTTGATATGACAATGCTTATTGTTTAGGAAGACAGCTTTGAATCCAATTCAAGGGGTAAAATTCTCTTACTCAAACTTAACTGCCTTAAAAAAACAAAAGGGAAGCTTACCTGCTTTTGTATAGGTTTCCAAAAGTAAAGTGTGATGAGGTAGATGGAAGCAAGCATAATGGTGGCAAGCCAAGCTCATCATTACTGTAAGAGGAGATGATGATGATAATGATCATATTGAGTATTCAATACTAAAAGGATCAATAAATACAACAACAACAACAACAACAACAACAACAACAACAACAACAACAACAACAACAACAACAACAACAACAACAACAACAACACCACCACCACCACCACCACCACCACCACCAACAACAACAACAACAACAACAACAACAACAACAATAATAATAATAATAATAATAATAATAATAATAATAATGTGGTGAGGCTCAAACTCCCATTTTACTACTGCCAAGCTCCTCTAGAAGAGACATGGTATAATCAAGAGGTTTGGGTGTGAAGGGCTCACTCCTTGTGAACTCTGACCAAACTAGTCTTCTGAAAGCTATGTGTACAGGTAGTAGTACAGATTAGCATTATTATTTTTAAAGAACTAGATTATTTCATTGTAATCTTTAGTGGATTTTTTGGCCGAACCTTGTTGGCATATATTTATGCCACATGAGCTGGATGACACCATCCTCCAGTGACACAGATTTTTACTGTAATTAAATTAAAAACTTCCTATTCCCCCCTTCAGGGTCTGGGGCTCCCTATCGATCCTCTGCACCCTTGGGAAGGCTTTGAAGCCTTGGGATGAAAGAGATTATGGGAGCCTTTCATACTGGAATTCAATTAAAAATATATCTGACATCAACCAGTGGTGTAAATTTATGCCAATGGGTTTTCAGTTATTGAATCAATGATTGTGATGTATTCGAATTTACTGATAAATTTTGTAAGAAACTGTTTCCCCCCAGCTGTTCTGTCTTTTTTGAAAGAGTATCATCAGACAGCTGGATAGCTCAGTGCTTTAGATATCTGGCTGCAGAGGATAGGAGTTCAATGCCCTATTTTAATTATAACGTAAACCATGATTGTTTTTATTAATTTTACAACAGACATTATAATGCTTGATAATTTATTCAGACAACATGTAGCTTAAATGGTTGCAAAGGGATCTGTCTGTATTAAGCGATGTCATGCTCATGTCCACAAAGCAACCTGTACATTTTAAAGCAATTTGCATACAATCCAGTGTGCTCTGTAAAGTATTATCAGTACTGTTATCGCGTTGCAAAAGGATTTGAAAGCAATAAATGGCAGCTTCATGTTCTTTGCTAGTTATATGCTACAGCTGAACTAGGTTTGGTGCAGTAGCAAGCAAAGTTTTGGCACACAGATCACAATTTTATTTATTCATTTACTGCATTTTTATGTCTCCTTTCTCCCAGTTGAAAGGACTCAAGGTGGTTCACAATAATGTTTAAACAAACAGGAATTAAACAAATACTGAAACCATTAAAGTGCTATTAAACATTAAAATGCACATCTAAAAATAGCAACTGATTTCTATGAGAAAGGACTTCTATACATAGAAGTAACACTGGTAGTGCTGATTGTTGAAATTGGTAGAATCTGGCTCTTTTCTATGAACAGGAAGTTGCTGATATTTTGATATAGCTACCTGATAGTTCCAACTATGGCTATACAATGCTTTCCTAATTTATTATTTTGAGATTCAGATTTGTGTTTAATCTGATCCGGAACTGATCTTATCAGACTCACAACTGAATATCAATCAATATTCAGAAATCCAGGTCTTCATGCATGGCTGTAACTTTTTCCTGTTTTTTCATGGATACACTTGAACTTCGGAGAACTTTGAAATTTAGACCTGTCAATGAGTAAAGTCTGGATCTCCACCTTCCCATTCCCATCACCACCCTAGTGTTTTCCTCATATGTTGCTGTTTTGCACTATGAGAATAAAAATGTTTAGGGTCATATAAGAACACAAGACAACAATATCATACCTGTTTGGAAATGGATTAGCAGCTCCTTGTGCCATCAATGTAACAGGAGAGGAGGCTGTTATTGCTGAATATCGCTCACATTCCTGAGTACGACTTGGCATTGCAGCATTTCCATCAGACTTTCTCAGGCCATATGCACATGTATATTCTCCTCAGAAAGATAATTTGAAGTAGGTTACATGGAATATCATGCCTAAACTTCAAATACTATACTTATAGTTACCATCTTAATGATAACTGCTTAGAAGGTCTGGAGAGTCCTTCTCTGAAATTGTACTTACAAACACATGCTACCATGAATACAGTTCTGCAGATAAAATCAAAACAAACACTTGGCTTTTTCATTTCAAAACCACAACTGAAATTTGTTGACCAATATCTACAATGTAGACATTCTGATTAGAGATGAGGGTATTCTTATACGGATATGAATAGCCCCGCACAGGTAGACATAACGAGGATCCAGCCCCATGGGGCTGGATGGTCCACTCACTGATCTGCTACGGGCATCACGGAGCCTTCCAATGGCTCTGGAGATCATGTTCAGCGAGCCACTCTTCAACCTAGCAGAGAGGCTTGTCGTCCCGCCTCCTGCCAGGAGTGGTGAGCTGAATGTGACCTCCAGAATCATTGGAAGGCTCCGCAAAGCCTGTGCCCATGGCATATCAGTGAGTGGACCAATGACCCCATGGTGATGGACCCTCCTTATGTCCACCTGTGCGAGTGTATTCATATACAAATACCCCTAGCTCTAATTCAGATCCTTATAATGGGGACATTGCTATTGGCATTTACACCATGGAACCAGAACCCATAGTTTCCTGTGACCCTTAGTTGCTTCCTATGCAGCTCCTCAATATTATGGGGGCTCAGTTACTTCTTCTGAAAGGAAAGCTGCTGTTCCTTGCCCTCCTTGTTTACCTGCTGCTAGTAATGGCAGGAATTATCTCAGTGGAGGCTGATAGATGATATAATTGTGCTCAAATCTGTACTTGGAAGGCAGAGAGGGGAATATAAGCAAGCAAGTGTACATCTGTCTGAGATAAGATGTTCATGCATGTGCACATGAACATATGTGCACAGGGCTGAAAAGGCTACATGCTCAAAGTTTACAGTTTCCATATGCTGGAATATATCTAGTATTATTCTATGATCCCTACCTTAATCTCACCTCACCTACAGCCCAGGAGCAGGATCTGATCTGGTCTGGTCTACCTTCTTACAAGCTGAACACAATCTTCCTTAAGAGAGAAACCATTTATGGTATAAGAATGATCAACTTTCACCACCTCAATTGGAGGGCTGCCACTGCTCCCCAACCTTCTCCTGATAACAAACTCCCCAAGTTTTTTAAAAATACGTTTTGGCTTGAAATAGCCAATTTGTGCACTGTATGAGACACAGTCAACCAGCTCAGGCATTATCTCCTCTGCATACCTTATTTCGGCTCACAGATCATTTATTTGAATGCTGGAAGTGGTGGGAAATTCAGTTCAAGTTTGGAAAAGGGGACTCTACTCTAAATAAGTTTCTACCCCCTTTGTAATGCTCCAAATGGCTCCAATCTGAAGCTTAAAAACAAGTGGGAGACATAGGGTTCTAAGCGCCTCCACTCTGCCTTGTTGTAGGCAAATGAAAAAGAGAAGGTATTATGGTTGAATTGCTATGGTTACATCAGAAAAGGACCATGGACAAATATGTAACAGGGACTTGTTCAATTGGTAGTCCCAAACAGAGTAAGCCACTATATCATAAATCAACACATATGTAAATTCCACTAATTAAAGAGTTTACTCTAGTTGGGAATAGCAACTAGGCCTATATTTTACAGTTTCTTTTATGAAATTATTTTACAATAAATTTGCAATATGATAAATTTAAATGGTGTACTTTGTTTCATCCTTTTTGTTTTTATCACTGCATTCTTCCAACTGTTCTCAAACAGACGACCTCCAAATGATTTTCCTGAGACGTTGGTATCCGAAAATCTTTGGTCACATGTTATGATTGGCAATTTTTGTTCTTTTGGTGGCTGAGAAGGGAGACACTTGCTGCTTCCAACATCAAAATAAAACAATACAGAGGACACATGCAAACATTAATTAGTGAATGCTTTTCACTTGTTGTCAGGCATAAACATTTGTAACTGGGTCATCAAGAAAACTGGTTACTGGCACTGCCATGCTTTAAACAAATTCTACCAAAGGTCTCTTGGGTAGGATCTGCCTGCGCAATGAGAATGGTGGCAGCAGTAGCAGATTGTCACTGATTAAAGACACCTTTCTGTCAATTTAGGATGCATGCAGCTTCACTGCATTGCATGCAAGCCAAACACACCCCAAAATTGCAAAAGAAAGCCTTTAATCAGCAGCAATCTGTTGCTGCCAATGATGTCATTCCTGTTGCTCAGATGGACCTGCAAGACAGGATGCCAATCTATTATTCCGCATGAACCCCTCTTTCTCCGACTAACTTGCTGGCTAAATGGGTATTATGAAAAAAAAATCAGTGGCTTCAAATGTTCTAAATCTAGGAACCTCTTTTCACATATATTTGTGAGAAACCCTGAACAATGGCATCAATGTTGCAAAGAACCTTGGGACAGAAATAGTGTTCTGGGATGCCTGCTTTATTGATGGAAGGCACTGTTGTGAGCTTCTGAACTTCACTCTTGCTCAATATGAACTCCTGAATGCACATCTGAGTGCACTTCCAAATGTGCATTTTAAGGGAAAATTGAGTGGAATGGACAAGATGTATTTCAGGGACGATTCCTTCTATTATTGATCTTCCTGTTAAAGGACATCAGTAGGTCTTGAAAGAAACAGAGGATTCTCCAAAGGTAGGTTGAAAGCTGCTATTTTATCACAAATGCAATAATCCTGAAGTGTCTATTTCATTTTCTTTTCACTGCTATAACTTTATCAAGTTATTAGAAAGACAAACTTTCTGTATTCTGAACCATTTTTGTTACCATTTAAACTTTAATGTATCTCAGACAATACCCTCTGATTTCCTTTTCCTGTCTTGTACACATAGAATGCTAGTTGAGATGAGAAACTTCAGAAGGTTAATGAAACAAACTCCAAAACTGTTTAGATTTAAAGAAAAAATAGGATGGATGAAAAATGGAGCATTCGTCTCTAAGCATCTCTCTGTGTGTATCACCAGCAGACAGTTTCAGCCCTGTGATGATTTACAATAGGAAGAGACTCAAGGCAGCAGCCTACAACTATACCGTTCTTTGTTGTTTTTGATGGAGGTTGAGGAGAAAAGCAAAAGGAACACTTGGTATTGATACAGCCTTGGGCTAAATCCAATGTGTTGCTTGAATCCTGAAACTTCCTTCCCTTTTGGGAGCTGCAAACAGATGGATACCCAGCCCTCTGTAGCCTTTTTAAGGGGAGGGGTACTTTAGGGACTGTAGTGAGGAGAGATTGTCCTCTCCTGTCACATATGCTGAATTCCTCTATTGCATGAACATCCAACGTCAGATATAGTATCTTGTCAATATGCAGTCCCTCATTTACAAAGAGATTAGATTGCCCCACTACTACAGTAGAGCAGGGGTCTCCAAACTACGGCCCACAGGCCACATCTGGCCCATGTTGCCATTTTATCTGGCCTGTTGCTTTCAGCCCGTGTGCTTGGACGAAGGTGTATATCTGTCCATCTGTGTGTGCATGCGTGCATGTGGGTGTGTGCGGGCGGGCATGCATGTGTGCGACCAGGCATCTGTCTGTGCAGGGGCTGATGTGTGTGTAAGCATGCGTGTGGGTCGGAGTGCACACGTGTGCATTCCTTTGGTCCTCAAAAATATCGCAAATATATGATGTGGCACTGTGTGAAAAGTTTGGAGACCCCTGCAGTAGAGCTATGGAAGAACGATCATGATTTTTTTAAACAAAGTTGGGAAAAATCCTAAATTATTTTTAAAACATACTATGGGAGAAGGAACCTTATCACATGACTTTGATATTTCTTTCACTTTCATTTACTTTTATTTTTATTTACTTTTATATCATGCAGCACATTGAAATACTTACCTTTCTGAAACACAAAGAATCTCTGGAAGCTTGCCATCATGTACCTCAGAATCTGCAACAGATAAAGTGGTAATTGTTCAGACAGATCCAGTTATTCCATTTTCTTATGAAAATTTACATTGCCAGGTATATGCTTCAAAACAATGAAATAAATATTTTATAGTAACAAAACTCCTACTTTAGTTAATGTGCACTCAAGCCTACCTTGCCTGTTTTGGTGGTCCTCCTAGGAAAGTGATGGCGCACCTATGGCATGTGTGCCATAGCTGGCACATGGAGACCTCTCCATGGGCACGTGAGCCAAAAGTCACTGGAGCGCCCCCCACCCCTGCAGCTGAATTTCAAACTGCACAATGGTAAGCCACCTATCCCTGCTACCTTCCTTGGTTGCGGCACTTGTAAATCAGTTCTTTTAGAGATCGGAGATAAGGCTGCTTTATTGTTTACTGCTGTAGAACAGCCTGGGGCAGTCAATCCGGCTTGTGAATTACTACTACCGCCAGATGAGACTGCAAGCAGGAGGGAAAGCTCCAATTAAGGTGGGAAGGAAGGTGCAAGTGAGGGACATGTGGATTCATCAAGCTTGTTTAAATGTAAGATTGCATCTGGGTCCCCAGATGTTCTTGGACTAAAACTTCCAGAACACTTCACCACTGGCTGTGCTGGCCAGGATTTCTGAGAGTTATAGCCCAAGAACATCTTGGGACTCAAGGTTGGGAACCACTGATCTAGACAAATAATCACATCTCTTGACACTAAATCACACACTCACTAAATGCAGATTAAAATCTTAAAGCTTGTCATTCCAAAAGGACAAGCTTTTACTACTTTGAATGGAAGAGCAAGTTAATCATTAAATGCATGTTACTAGACAACTACTCCTCTTATTATTTTCCTCTTTCAAATAAACAGTACTGTAATAATAATAGCAATGATTATTATTATCACATTGCACTTTTTATTTCTCATCACAGCTGGTGCATGTGGTTGGACCAAAGGAGCAAGTCTAAACATTAGCAGTCAAGACCTAAAAATATGCTGGTGAGATGGCATATTTCCAAAATCACTGATTTTTTTGTTTTCAGGAAGCAAATTGATGTTTGTTATTCCTTCTTTGCCACCAGGACAACTCTTACTGCTATTGTTCCATTTATTAAGACTCAGCTTTGTTTTCTTTGGTCCTCTCATGATTATGAGACCTCTTTTACTTTCAAAGTTGAATCTCTAATAAGGTCTCCTTTGTCTCAACTCGTTGCAATCGAAACCCTGCTTCCTCCAAGCGCGACGTGGAGGAGGGATGGAAGGGGAAGCTAGCTCGACGTTTGCCCCAGCCATCTATCCCCTTTAATAGGGGTTTACATGCAACGATCTTCTGCTGTCCGTCATGGGAATAAACCCCATTTGGTTCAACGTGACTTCCTTCTTATGACTGGAGTACATAGCTACGGAATCACACACAGCTCCAACAACTCCTTACAACAGTGGTTTCCAACCTGGGACTGCGACTCCCAGACACACCCATCAGCTGAACTGCCGGTGAAGGCTTCTGGGAACTGCAGTCCAAGAACACCCGGGTTTCCCAAGGTTGGGAACCACTGCCTTACCACATCCTTGTAAGGTAGACCACTCCGAATTCGAAATACTCCTTTACTGAAGTTACTCGGCGGTGAAACAGCAGCACGCCCTAGCCAGTTTCCCCTCCGTTCTTGAAAAGGCAAAAACAACAACCACGTGGCAGCGCCCCCCCCAGGC